TGCATAAGGGCAGTGCAGGGAAGGTAACTAAGTGTAAAGAACCAGCAAACACAAATGCTCCTGTGCTTGGGGATGGACTCGATGCTACAACCACATTAGGAATGTCCTGGAACATGCACACCTTGCTGCCCTTAAATGGACCGGGGGAATCCAAATATACTGAATGGGGAAAGAACAAAGAGAGGGCGCACAGGCCTAGTGCATTACCATAAAAAATGTTTAATAAAAAATAAAGTAGGTGTTGTACTCACAAACGACAATATAGTCAAGGCACGTCATAAAAGAACAGCTGGGTCAACACCGCGCTGAGTAACAGTCCGCAATAGGGAGTTTAGACATCCAAAAGGTTGACGCGTTTCGAGGACTTGCCTCTTCCTAAGTGTATCAGGGCGTAAAGAGACCCAGTCACCTTGCTTGTTCCCGGCAAAGTGACCGAGTCCCTTTAAAGACTTAAAATAGTAGAGACAACAAATGGCAGTTCAATTACTCTCTGAAAAAATTGAAAGCTCGAGAATATTTCTCCGTGCAGCAAAAGATTATGGCATTCTCCTCTAATACAACCTGACAAGAGGTCTGTCATCAAAATGAAAAAGAATTAAAAAAAGCCACACGGGGACATTCAGCACGACCATCTTCACTGTCATCCTGACATCCTGTGTGATCTCAGAATATCAAAGAGGATATTAAAAATGAATAGACGGGGGGGGGGGATGTACGTGGATATTGGATGCTAAAAAAGTAATTTACTGCAAACACAAAAGGCTCTAAGCATTGCAGACAATGAAAGCAAAATATCCCTGTCCAGGATAATAGAGCCAGATCTCTAACAACTGAGATCCAGCTGTCATATTTGGGTGAATATTCCGCTTAATTACGTTGCATTCATTGAGCTGTCACTTTCGCGGAAAAGTATAAAATTGAGAGAGATAATTTATTCCTAGCAAGCATTTTGAGCATAAAACATGATTATTTAAAAGAGTAAAGCACAATACTTGTCTTGTCCAACTAACCGTATAAAAGAATCAACAGTCCAAATCTGTTCCTTTAACCCCTCGCCTACAGGGCACTTATACCCCCTTCCTGCCCAGGCCAATTTCCAGCTTTCAGCACTGTGATTGACAATTGCGCAGTCATGCAACACTGTACCCATATGACATTTTTATCATTTTTTTGTGACAGATAGAGCTTTATTTTGGTGGTATTTAATCACCTCGGGGTTTTTTATTTTTTTCTTTAAAAATTTAAAAAACACTGAAAATTTTGAACAAAAATACTTTTTAGTTTTTGTTATAAAATTTTGTAAATAAGTGATTTTTCTCCTTCACTGATGTGCGCTAATGAGGCTGCACTGATGGGCACTGATGGACACTGATAGGTGGCACTGATGCACATTGACAGGCATCACTGATGGGCACTGAAAGGCAGCACTCCTATATGCCACTGATAGGCTAGAATCTCCTAGATTGTAAGCTCGAAAGAGTAGGGCCCTCTAACCCCTTGTGTACTGTTTGATGTTACTGTTCTGTTTCATGTATTGTCCCCCCCTATTGTACAGCGCTGAGCAAACCCTTTGGCGCTATATAAACACGATAAATAAATAAATAAATTAATAGGGCAGCACTGATTGGCACTGATAGGGGCACTGACTGGCATTGATGGGTGACACTGAAAGGCAGTGATGGGCATTGATATGTGGCACTGATAGGTGGCATGGATGAGCACTGAGAGCTGGCACTGGTAGACACTGACAGGTGGCGTTGCTTGGGCTACACAGATCATCAGTGCTCTGATGATCTTAGTACATGTCCCCTCCGAGGAATGCCGATTACCGGCTCTCCTCTCCTCTGTCAGTGTGACAGCTCGCGGGGAGAGAAATGCCGATAACTGGCATTTCCCGGTTTACATGTGATCAGCTGTGATTGGACACAGCTGATCACATGACCGAGCCGACAACTTCAGCTCTTTCCATGTATCGGTGATCCGCGCTACGGGACACAGCGCACTGCCGATTGCGCATGCGCGGTTAGCCGCGATGCGCGGGAGGAGGACGTCATATGATGTCCTCCCAGAACGAGAGAACCGCCTTGCATCCGTCATTTTACTATATGGCAGGCGGGAGGCGGTTAAACCTGGAAAGAACCCTCAATACTTGGTCCAGGCTCGATATCAGAGCAAGACGACTGATGGTGGTTATGCCCCTTCATTAGCAGGCTGGAGTGCGCGGTTAGTCATCAAAATGACGGCGTCATGTCAGAGCTTACAGAGGTTCAAAGAGGGAAAATTGTTGGTGCCGCTTAGATGGTGCCTCTGACTGAAGTTGCCAATTTATTTACCGGGTCACCAGGTACAGAATCAGAGGTTATGGCAGCATATACAGTTTCGGGAAACCGTTGTCTGATAAGCACAAGCGCGGTCGAGAGCGACAAAAGGATATTGCGCAGGATTGTGACCCGGAATAAGAAAACAACTGCTGCAAAAGTGACTACAGAGCTCAATCTCAGTCTTCACGGAAACTGTATGCATGTATGTGAGCTGGATGTGTTAAACTGACACACTACACTTAACCACTTCCAGTCCAGACACTGTCACCCCCTTCCTGTCCAGGCCAATTTTCAGCTTCAGCGCTATCACACTTTGAATGACAATTGCGTGGTCATGCAACACTGTACCCATATGAATTTTTTAGCATTTTTTTTAGACAGATAAAGCTTTATTTTGGTGGGATTTATTCACTTTTTATTTTTTTTCCTATGTAAATGAAAAAGTGTTTTTCTTATAAAATTTAGCAAATAAATAAACTATCATAAATCTTTGCCAAAATTTATTCCGTTATCGTTTTAGTAAAAAAAATAAATAAAAAAGAACCCACATTAGTGTATAACCAAAAACTATTAATTTAAAAAAAATTTTTAGTACATTTTTTTATTTTTTTTTTTTTACATAGTCACCCTATCAGTACAGTGTCAGCATGGTGACACTGTACTACTTGTGAGGGGTGATGAAGATTTTTTTTTTTTTTTTTTTAACACTGATTGCTTTTATACCCATAAAGGCTGTAAAAGCAATCATTTCTCCTCTCTGGCTGCATTCTTGCTGCCATTGAGAAATACTGTGTGAGCTGTGATTGGTCACAGCTTGTCACATGGTACAAGGCTGTTGTGAATAGCTTTGTACCACGAGACCCATATACACATAGCAAGATGTCACTTCTGACATAATTGCTTACTTACTACTCTGCATGTGATCACTGATTGGCCAATCAGTGATCACATAATCGGGACCTCGCACAGTTCCACTGTGTCCAGAGGACATAGCGGGCACCGGATCGCGGTGCTGCGGGCTCCCAGGGAGTGCGCACAAGCAGGGGGCGGGGAGGCCGTTTAGAAACGGCCATCTGACCCTGCACTGGAAGTGGTTAAAAATATTTTTGATGACGGGTCCACTTTAAAGTTTTTAAAAAAGGTGGACTTTCACTTGAACATTTCTTGAAACTGGAATCTTCAGGGTCAGTATTATTGTTTTCCCGAATGGTTTTCAATCTATGGACTGAATTGTGTGCCATTTACAAGACCAAATCTGTGCAGTAGAAAGGGTCGCATTGCAGGTTTTCAACGTTTGGCTTGCAGATAATTATTTTGGGAATAGATGGAAATAAGGGCTCTGTCTTGCTGCATCAGCTGCAAATTAACTGTGGTTTGACTTTGTATTGGGAAGAGAACATTCAGAGACTTGCTGTCCTCTTCATTCCTCTAGCACAGAATGACTACTAATTCTTTTAAAAAGATCACAAGTACTAAGTGTCTCTCCCACCATACTGAAAGCCGATGTTTCTTTTTGTTTTTGCTCAGTCAGCACTGGTCATATTCATTCAGGTCCGTCAGTAATCGATGCTGTAATAGCGATCGGAGGCATTTTGCCCAAATAGCTTATTTAACTTTAGCTGAATGTCATTATTATTATTATACAGTATTTATAAAGCGCCAATGGTTCGCTCAGCGCTGTACATTACAAAGGGGGACAGAACATGTGACAGAACAACACCAATACAATGCAAAACATGAGGGGATTGAGGGCCCTGCTCTTTCGAGCTTACAATCTAGGATAAATCTGTACATTGACCGGTCTTATCTGCAAAACGATCTGTAATTCTTTGCAGTGAGTTCTCTAAACTATGCACCTCTGCCAGACAGTGGAGCCAGGTCACTGACCTCATTTGAAAGGCATAAGAAATCTTTAACCTTTGGGTTATCTTATCTCCTACAGGAGGATAAGACACTAACAAGAAAAAAAACTTCACTTTTTAGGATATTCCAGCAACGTCTAGTCTTTATGAAGCAAAGGTTTAAAAAAAAAAAAAAAACAGCCGTAAAACGGTAGTAAAGGCCAAAAGGAAAAAAAAGAAAAAGAAAAAAAAAAAAAGGGAAGAAAAAGGAAAAAAAAAAAAAAAAAAAAAAAAAAAAGGGAAGAAAAAGGAAAAAAAAAAATAAGGACTCTCGGGTGGTTTCTATCATTATGTACCACATACTAGCAAATTATGACAGACATACCTTTAAACCCTCCAGTGGACTGTCACTGCTGTTGGCGCTCCCTTCTTCGCCTGGTCTTCCTTCCAGGTATGCAGGCTCCAGTCATTTGAATGCCTGGGCCGCAATGACGTCACTCCTACTCATGCATTCAGGAGTCACGGTTGCAACACAGCACTCTCAATGGATGGTATACTCCAGTATGCCCTCCATTCAAGGTGAAGTGTACATACAGGCACTGGCCTCTACTACAAAGGTGAATATCTCCTAAATGGTTCACGTTTAGAAGATATTCACTGTACCTACTGGTAAGCCTTATTATAGGTAGGTCTGCCAGTGTCCAATCCTCCTGTAAGAAACAGAATTCCTGTGTCCCTCAATATAAATGAAAGAAAACACATGGGGCAAATATGTACAAGTAACAGATGTTACGAAGGAAATCAAGAATTATAAAAACTAGCACATAGGTTTCCTCACCAGGTACTGTTGATCGGGATCATCCGACCTCAATAGGTGAATAAAGCGGCCCACAAGGCCCTGCTCTTCTGCAAAGTCCTCTGGATCGGGGTCTTCGGCTGGCTGGTCTGGTTGGTCTTGGATCAGTGTTGACACTAAATTCATGATAGCATCCACCTATAAAGCAAGGAAGGCAATCATATACCTATACGTAGCAGAATTTCAGTAAGGTTTTCTAAAACTTGCCAAAAACCAGCCACAAATATCGACGTCCATTTTGACCTGTTCTCAAAAGTAATTATAGAGTGTCGTAATGAACCAAAACAAAATTGTGTGACATTTCATGCTGAAGCACGCTCATGATTGGTATAATTTGTAGGATGGTTCACCAGTTTCTACTGCAAACAGCCAAACACAGGCCAGAATGCTGAACAATCTTTCCAATTCCAAAGCATGGTATCAGTTGTGTTTAGAAGAAGGTGCAGAGCTAAACATAAATACGAATATATTAAAAAAATAATAATATAAATTATAAATACAACTATAGATTATTCCAAAGTGTCCGTATAAAAAGAAAATGGTCCAAAAAAGAAAAAACTCTTAATATTTAAGTGCAATGAAAAAAGTCTGCGTACCCAAGTGACCACACAAGAGAAGACAAATCGCTATTATTCAAACATCAAGTAGAGATCATCATCCATCCTAATCTTCCACCAGAAAAAAAGAGAAAATATGTGACCATTTATGAAGATATGGTCATACAGCCCTAAAGATCACACCGACGCCTGGCTTCCACAGATCTCCCAATGGGTGTCCGATCAAGGGCTCCAGCAATCCCCACAGACAAAAAGCCATACAAAAAAGGGGAAAAGAGTTTCATAGTAGTAGCAAAATCAAGTTCAAGATTTTTTAAAACATTAAAAAGTACACACTCACTAGGATGTGAGGCAAAAAAAGCAAATTCACAATGTGTCACAAATATCGATCAGCCGTTGTCTCGCTTCCGGTGTCAGCGCGTGTGCAGATGTCACTACTGCCGGCCCCCCCACTAACATGTTTCGTCATCAGGGGGAGTGGCCTTTAATAGAGGGCTCATCTTCTCTTGTGTAGATACATGAGCACACGTACTTTTTTTTTTTTTTTATTACACTTTTTATGTGGGTTTTTTTTTTTTTTTGGACCATTTTCTTTGGGATGATATAGAGTTGTGTTTAAAAAAAAAAATGTTAAAAGAATACAGTTATAATTTGTATTCGTAATTTATGTATTTAGCGCTGTGCTTTTTATACACCTCTGAAGATTTGGTACCGAAGATCCTAGTGCTAGCAGCTTTTTTTTTTTTTTTTTTCCTGCTTCTTTTTTTGGTACTACTGCACACGGAGTTTCCCCTTATACATGGTATCAGTTTTGCCCTGCTCTATTAAGTACACATCACAGACTGAAGATCGCTTGACAACATTGTCTAGTGTGTGAGGACTGAATGATCCCTAGTGTCATAAAACACACTTTAAAGCCCAGGATGTCAGGGACTGACCCCCCCCCCCCCCAGGGTTAGTCAAAGCACCCTAGAATCACATGAAACTCCTGCAGATAACATGGGCAGCACAGTGGCTAAATGCTTAGCACTTCCCCCTGGCAGTACTAGGGTCGCTGGTTCGAATCCCAGCCACAGCACCACCTACCTGGAGTTTGCATGTTCTCCCTGTGCCTGTGTGGGTTTCTTCCAGGTACTCCAGCTTCCTCCCACCCTCCAAAGACATGCTGGTAGGTGAATTAGCCCTAGTATGTGTACATATGAATGTGAGTTAGGGACCTTAGTGTAGTACATTGTGTAAAATACATCTAGCTCAGTAATTTTCTGGCTTGGTCAATATTGTACGCCCCTTGAGGGTTAGGGACTGATGTGAATGTACAATATATATATGTAAAGCGCTGCGTAAATTGACGGCGCTATATAAGTACCTGAAAATAAGTAACAGTGCCACTTTCTGCAGAATTTAGCACCCACCCACTACCTAAGGAAAAGGAGCTGTCGTCACATGACAGGACATAACACTGCAAGGAAAAAAGTAGCCATACCAAAAAAAAATGGTGGTGGGCTTTAAATTTACAGCAACATCTATACATGGAAGCTCACCAATGTTGGTGAATCAAGCATAACAAAAAAAATAAGATGGCAAGCAGCTCTTCCTGGCAGGGAAGGTGCAATTACTGAAACCTGGGACAAGGGAGAACATGGTATCTCGAGGCTGGAGTGCAGACATTACCTGTTCCTGAGAGCCGATCTCTGTGTTGTGCTCCAAGGCACTGCTTAGCACATAGCAGCTCATACTCTTTCTAGACTCATAGTCAAAGTACTCGAACAGCGGATGGAAGTGTTTGAGCTTTAGCACAGTCAGAAATATTGTTGTACGTGTCCACGGGAATCTTCAGAAGTCGGGTGAGCTCCTTGGAGACGGCGCTGCTGGTGGCAATGCTAAAAAAGAGAAAGAAAAAGAAGCTATAGTGTATGTAGGGCTCTCTTTTACAAACAGGACCAGGTGCTTCCAAAGTTCTCTGACTACCATACAGTGAAGGAAATGCGTATTTGCTCCCCTGCCGACAGGTGTCTTTTATACAGGTAACAAAATGAGATTAGCAGCACTCCCTTTAAGAGACTGCTTCTAATCTCAGCTTGTTACTGTATGAAAGACACCTTAGCCCCTCTGAATGAAAGGGGATCAAATACTTATTTCCCTCATGAACATGCAGTCATCATTTGTTAGACGCATTTCTGCTGAATTTGTTGTTGTATTCTGTCTCTCAGTGTTACAATACACCGAACATTCGATTTTTAAGACTGATCATTTCTTTGTGAGGGGCAAACATTCAAAATCAGCAGGGGATCAAATACGCATTTCCTTCACTGTATGTTTATGCAGAGCTAGACACTTTCTCTAAGACTTTGCCTTGGGGAAGAGTACTGGAGAGCTGAACTTAAATAATAATCTATTTAAAACAACCTTGTCGTGGTAAAACAATTCAAATGAAGCAGGAGAAGATCTATCCTACTCACCTCTTCAGTGGTCCAGGTCTAATACCTTCTCTCTATTCCGTATGATGCAAACCTTCATCAATCTCTTTAGCATTCACATTGTACATTTTTAAAGGAGAAGTTAATGTTTTACGAAAAATATATATTTTTTTTATAAGACATTGCACCCACGTTCAGTAGATTACAGGTGCAATGCCTAGATTCTGCAGACACTCCATAAGCGGTCTGCCTATACCTTGTATGGGAAAGAAGTTACTGAATAGCAGAAAGAATCAATGGACTACAAGAGTGCTCACCAGGAGTGTCAGGACAAGTGATTGGAGGAGAGCAGGTTGAGTTCCCAGCACTGCTAGAGAACTGATCACGCGGTGCTCTCATGTCTAGTGTGGTCAGTTTTAATAGGAAAGCAGAGGGACTGGCAGGAACACCAGGGATTTCACACAAAGTGTCAGGAATGGACTTGCCAGTAATGGTGGGACTCACCTGCCTTGTGGGCTGCAGTACCAGGGCTGGCCAGCGGGTGCTCTCAGCAATCAGAGACTCAACCCTGCAGTCAGCCAAAACACCTGAGGCTGATCACAGGTGTATTTAAGGGATGGCCAGACCTGCAGTCTGTGCCTTGGTGTGTGTTTTTCTATGGGCCCCTATATCTTGTTACCTGCATTCCTGTTCCTGTCTGACTGATTCGTTGCCGACCCTGCCTGATCCGGACCTCTGCTGACTTCTCCTGTTTGATCCCTGGCTTGTGACCCCGACCATTCTCTGCCTGACCCCCTGTACCTACCTGCCCGTTAGTTGCTGTACCGGCTGGTGACCTAACTACTCTCTGCCTGCTCCTCCTGTTCCTACCTGCCCGATTGTTACTGACCCGGCCTGCCTGACGACGCTTGGATTGTATGTATGGTTATCTGTGGGTGGTTTGGTTTGGTTCGTTTGCACTGTGTTATGTTTTAGTATTGCACTGCGTTTATGTATTGTTAGTATTAATAAATTATATTGTTTATAACATATCTGAAGCCTGCGTTTCCCTGCGTCAGTTCACATATCTCTGGTCATACCCTGGAGCCCTGACACAAAGGAAGCAATACAAAGAGAACAGGATACTTTTTCATACAAGTACATGGTACAGCAGGCGCATATCAGGAATATGAAATGCTGGGTTTACATACTCTTTAATGCTGGAAAGCTGTGGTTTCCCCAAGTGTGGTTTCAGTTAAAGGATATGCTGCCCTGACATCCATCACTAAGTAAGCACACCTAAACTGTTGCTGATCAGGAGTATGACTGTGTCCCATCCCAGTGCACCCCATGTAACAGCAGATTTCTGAACTGTATCACTGGCCATGACACTGAATGATACCTCTGGTTTACATGGAATGTGCAGGTACAGTAAACCTTACCACAGTGCTGGTATAATAACAAGTCCGAAGCAAAAAACGTGCAATAACTCCCTTTAGTAAAAACACCAAAAAATCAAATCTAAAAAGGTCCACAGGCCAAAATATGTCCAGTATTTCAAACGCTTCCAAGTGCAAGCCAGAAAAATAAATCTGGGTTCAAGAAAATCCTCATCAACACCACTCAGCGGGATAAAGTGTCCCTGCTGCCTAGCAGAATAAAAATCTCTACACGTGCAAATGACTAAGAGCAGGAGAAAATTGTGCATAAGGGCTCTCAAAGCCATCATATATTTATCCTGGAATGTGCATGGTGCTTTTTAAAGAGAAATTTGCTCCTAGAAGTACATTCTCCGTGAGTGAACAGCTACCCATACCCAGGGAGAACTTTAGAGGCTCCATGGCCTGGAGGATGCAGCAACCATGAGGAACCCATTACGGGTTCTAGGCAAAATGGCTTTGTGTCAGGGATCGCGGCGTCTCCTCGTCCGGCGCAAGTGCACTGGCGACGGGCTCACGCCGGGACACAAGCACCAGGTCCCTGCGGGCCGCAGATGACAGGACGCCGAGCATGCGCAGTAGGAGCCTTGGGCGGCCAATGACAGCCCGGGGGCGCGTCCTGGACGGCCAATGACAGTGCAGGGCGCAATATTTAAAGATGCCCTGCACTGTCACTAATCGCCGCAAGGTCTATCTGTGATCCTGAGTTCCTGTACCTGCATTTTGACCCTGATTGACCCTGACTACGCTGCCTTCTCCTGTGCTTTGACCCGGATTGTCCTGACTACGCTGCCTTCTCCTGCATTTGACTCGGATTGCCCTGACTACTCTGCCTTCTCCACTCCTGATCCTTGGCTTGTTTGACCTATCTACGGACTGACTTATCCTGCTGACCCTGCGTGTGACCTGACTACTCTTTGCTTGCCGATTCTGTACCTCGCTTACCCCACGGGACCGCTGCCCGTGACTCATCCTGCTAGGTCCCGCAGTCCTCCTCACATCTGGCTCTCCCGGTACCTATACATCCCCGGAGGTTGCCTCTGCCACTGGTAGGCCTGCTCGGAGGTTGTGACCTGGCCCTGGTCTGTTACAAGTCCATCCCCACCATCAGGGGCCCTGGTGAAAGAACAGACCGGGACTTAGATTCCACGCTTTGGGTAGGTCTGTCCAGTGGGCTGCCAGAGGCACCACCTGGCGGATCATAACACTTTGCCATCTAGCAGGCACAGGCCAGCCTCCTGATAATGAAGTTGGACAGGCAAACAGCGAACAGAACAGGAAGGCACTCAGCAGATAGGAGCCTTGAAATTAGATGTACAGTCCAAGTAAGTAGTGCAGGACCTGGAGCAAAGACAGGGTCTGCTGGAAGGGGCACAGTGGCCCGGAGCAGTAACTATGCAATTCTTCATGAATAAATTCCTAAAGGGCATCATCCTCATCTAGGCAAAATTTACAGAAGTGGGTACCCTCCCCCCCCCAAAACAAAAAAGTGTAGTGGGAGTGAAGTCCTGCTTTCAGCCTCTTTTCACACAGGTCACCTGAAAAACTGACAGGCGGACCCAACCAGAGCCTCCATTTTCCTCTATAAGCAGTTGGATGTAAACGGACAGCTGGTCCGTTTACATCCGACTGCCTATAAAGGAGAGCGGGCTGTATCCGTTCTACATAAGCGGAGCAGAGATGGACCCGTCGTCCGGCAGCTCCGTTCAGCAGGGAATCAGCGGGCAGATCCCCTGCTGAGCAAAACCGAATCCGGCCCGTGTGAAAAGGGCCTTAAGCTTTAACGCAAATGTGTTTTTGGGCAAAGAAACACATTTTCTTTATTGCTTCATTCGCAGTTGCACACTTACCATTCTTTCACTCCCATCGATCCAGTTGGCCGGGGAAACTAATACTGAGATGTACTGAGTATTTTCTTTAACCGCTTCCCGTCCACCTTATAGCAGAAATACTGCTACGGGGCAGCACGGCTGCTGCGCAAAATCACGTATATATACACAGGAGTTTGCATTTCCGGGTAGGGGGCGCGTGTGTGCTTCCTAACCGTGCCGCCATTCGAGGCCGCAGCTGTCAATCACCAGGTCCCGGCCGGTAATTATTTGCTAGAGCCCGGTGATTGCCAAGGATCCCCAAAGGGGGGGGGGGGGGGTAGAACTTTTAGTAAACAATTCTCGTGCACAGTGCTTTGAATGGCTGTGCACAGCAAAGCCATGCAAAGCTGTGTGCTTACAGTGAAGCACACAGACACAGCCCCAAGTAAAACAGCACACAGTTAACCCTTTGATGGCCCCGGATGTTAACCCCTTCCTGCCCAGTGCCATTAGTACTGTGTCAGTGCTTTTTATTAGCACAGATCACTGTATTGGTGTCATTGGGGATGTCAGTGACACCAAGTCAGTCCCCCCCAGTGTCAGAATGCCCACCGCAGTCCCGTTATAAGTTGCTGATTGCCACCATTAGCAAAAATTAAAAAAAAAAAAAAATCCCAGTATGTATATCGCCACTTGTAAACATTATAACTTTCCCGTAAACCAATTAATTTACAAGTATCAGGATTTTTTTTTTTTTTTTAGCAGAGACATGGAGCAGAATACAGTTTGTCTTAAATTTATGATGAAATTTGATTTTTGACATTTTTTTTTACTGGACATGTTTAATAGCAAAAAGTCAAAAATATAGTTTTTTTTCCCCTCACAATTTGCGGTCTTTTTTTGTTTATAGCACCAAAAATTTAAAAAAAAAAAAAAAAAAACCCCCCCAAAAAAAAAAAAAAAAAAAACACACACACACAGGCCATCAAATACCACCGAAAGAAAGCTCAATTTGTGGGAAAAAAGGCCACAAATTTCATTTGGGTGCAGCGCTGCATGACTGCGCAATTATCAGTTAGTAACAGAAAAAATGGCCTGGTCAGGAAGGGAGGTAAATCCTCTGGAGGGCGAGGGGTTAAGAAGCATGGGACAGCGCTGGAGCTTAGTGATTGGTTCAGCACTGTCATGTGGAAACGGAGAGACAGGGCCTAAAAGGGGAAGGCAAGCAACTTCA